GAACAAGGCCCTCCTAGGTAAGCGGTGACCAGGCATACGTAGCACGTGCCCGAGCCAACGCAACTTATTCAGTGCTATCGGTTGCTCTAGGGAGCTAGAATGTTTATCACTACCTAGTACTCGCCTACCCACATCATCGTTGCGGATACGCTGGTGCCATCCGACATCAGCAATGCTTCGCAGACAACGATGATCAAAGACTTGAAGGCGCCTAAGATCTTCAGACCGAAGGGGCCAAGTCTCACTACCATAAAGCAGAACAGCCGTCATTGAGGTCTTGTATACACTGCCTTTCAGACAGAGGTAAATTCCCTTTTGTCGCCAAAGATGCCCCAGGTTAAAGAAGGCGGCTCTGGCCTTCGCAATGTGTGAGCTGACGTCACTTTATACGCGCACATCATTGCTTATGCAGCTGCCAAGATAAGTGAATTGATCAACCACATTGAGTTTCTCGTTAACAAGGGTCACTGGGTTATTAAGTGGCTGGTCGTCCTACAGCAACACTTTGCACTTTGAAGGTAGGAAGCACATACCAAATAATTGGACCACTCTAGACAGGTTATATAGGGTTGATTGTGCCACCGCAACATCGTCGAAAACCAAGACGAGATCGTCCGCATTATCTAGATCAACCAACCTTGCACCAGTCAGCACTTCAACGCCTACATCGTGAGATGCCGCAAGGGAACACGTCGTAACAGATTCCACGACGAAATTGAACAAAAACTGGGAAATCGGACAACCCTGACGAACGCCACTTGTGATCGGAAAGCTATCCGATAAGCCATCGTAGACCCTGACGCAGCCTTTAGTGTTCGAGTATAGAGCACCTAGGATGCTCACATATTTCGTGGGAACACCTTTCTGAGCAAGTATTTCGAACAGAACCGATCGATCGACTGAATGGAACGCACTCTTGAAATTGAGGAACACAGCTATTGTCCGTCTGCCGTATGCGTGGCGCTGCTCTAGCACCTGCTGCAAGTGAATATATGGTCTATACAGCCACGTCCTGGGCCGAAGCCGGCCTGCTCTTCCCTAATCCGAGATTCCTGTTCCGCAGTGAGGCGACGAACGATAATCAAAGTCAGTAATATTGTCACAGCTGGCGTTAGGCTAACACCTCTGTGGTTCGCACAGTATATGCGACTACCCTTCTTGTATATTGCCACTAAAATCGATTCACTTCAATTAGCCGGGACACTTCCTCCCAGATACATCCGAATAGGGAGGTAGTGCCCTGCAGAGGACCTCACCTCCATCCTTAAATAGTACAGGTGGGAGGGAATCCGGGCTAGTGACATGAAAACCATTGAGGGCTGTGATCGCGTTTCGGACCAAGGCCCCCGACGGAGGCTCCAAACTAACCGTCCATGGCTCGTCCTGCATCACCTAAGTAGAAAGAGGTTCGGGAGCAAGGGGCCAGCTGAACGGACCTAAAAGTGTTCCGCCCAACGAGCCATACGGCGCTCCTTACTGTGTGTCAGCGCACCCGCGCTGTCTCTGATTGTCTCACTGACGCCTGGTTTCCTGGGATCAGTGGTGCATATTAGCGGGAAAAGCTTGCGGTAATTGCTTACTGCTCCTGCCTCCTCCATTTCTTGAGCCCGACTGGTCCGCCAGGCTTCCTTATCAGCACGTAAACTCCGCTTTAGTGAGCGCCTAATAGCCCGTCTGGTCACATTGTGAACAGAACCAGCCGGGAGGTGTCTTCTGGATTCCAACAGGTTCATCGACCTCTCGGATATCCAGTGACTAGTGAGGTGACGATGGATAGTGCCACAAACAGATGCTCCTGCGTCGTGCATGGCAGCCGAGATCCTATTCCACTGAAACTCAGTGTCATTAGGACAAGACAGCGAAAGTTCGGTACGCAGTGCATCTTGATAGGCTTGCCTGACCGAGGGCTGGGACAATTTCTCAGGTATCAATCGGAGGAGACGTTTGGTGCGCCTCCCGGTAAAGTTCATGGATAAATGACAGCGTACCAAGGCATGATCAGAGTCGACACAGGTATTCCAGTACGAGCCGCAATCCAAGATGCAGCCAAGTTACCTGTAACTTATGGCTATGTGGTCAATTTGGATCCATCGCTGACCAGCTACAGAAAAACGCCAAGTGGCACTTCGGCGCCCACTGTGTCTAAAAGCAGTGCTACTAAGAAACAACTGGTGCTCCGTACACACTTGTAGCGGATGTTCGCCGTTGTCAGTATGTTCGGAGTTAAGCCCATAATTACCACCTAGCTGAGCTTCTGAAGAGCCCAGACGCCCTACTTGTGCGTTCATATCCGCTGCAAGTACTGTAATATCTGAACTAGTAGCACTACGTAGTATGGCGTTCAGTTCGTGATAGAATGTGTCCTTGACAGCATTAGAACTGCAGTCCGTGGGAGCATAAACGGAAATCACAAACAAACAGCGTTTTGTATTAATTCGTGAATCCACCTTAGCTGATGTCGTCAAACGGGATGCACATAAACGGCTGTTCATCGAAATCCAATCAACCAACGATGGCTCAGCCTTGGAGCTGAGAATGATACCTACACCAGCTTGACACGTGAGTGCTGCATCGGCGTCTTCGGATGCGTGCAACTAACTACTAAGGCGGATTAGGCTTCGAAATCGTATCGAGCACAAGCCGCAGTCGGCTAAGATCCATCTGGAAATGACACTGCAGATCCGCTGAGAGCGAAGCTACACTAGATGTGCCAAGCTGAGTTCCGTGCCAGTGGAAACTGCGTTTTGTAGCCTGAATTCGGAGGTGCGTGGTTATTAAGACGCTATCGGCTAATGTATGTAGTTTGAAGACAAAGCGCACATCAAATTGTGTGGAGGTCAAGGTGATTCTAAATATTATCAGCTGACTGATCTGACAGATCATTTGGATATGGAAAAATTTAATTCGGAATGATACTTTGGCTTGCACTTCTTGTTGGCCTCGCTGATGAAGCCAGACGTGATCGCTTGTTGGGTAACGTAAGAAAAAAATCTTAAGAGAGAAGAACAAAAGGGGAGGAAGAAACAAGAAAGAATGAAATTAACTGACTAACCACATCGAGGGAGAGGTCATAATAGACTTAAAGGCAAGAAAAACATCAGCAGTACGTCGGTACACAGTACAGACGCTTCGCTGACGTGCAACCACCACCGGTCGCACGTGGACTAAGGATACTGCGATTGTCGTCCTGTCCCTACGCAGGCTCGAACCCGCGCCGTCAGATTGTAAGAGAAGCTCGCTACCTTTAGGTTACGGGCCAAAAGTGACTTAAAAGATCTGCATGAAGTGGATCACATATATGCAGCCTCAGAAGATACGAAGAAGTCCGTGTACGCTTTCTAACAGTAACAGACAATACATATACAACCAGTCAGTTGCAACAGTAGACCAGCTGTCGGGCTTGAGGAGCGTTGTAGAGAACCAGCAAGCAAACATCACAATCGCACGTCGTCAGGGACAACCCGAGACACTAGGGCTCTAGATTAATAGATTTTAGCTTACGTCGCGTATGCACTGAGGAAAGCGTGTCAATCCTCTTGCAACCTCATACAAGGATGTTGATAGCTCGAGTGACTTGTAACCGCTAACTTATCTGCTATTAGTGGTTCTGAAGGTGAGTGGAAAGTGCCATACAAGGAAGCTCCACCGAAACAGTGACACAAGCTACCACGCCATGCTAAGGTTCATTATGATTTGGCTCAGTTTATAAGGCCAGCAAACAAATAAGATGTTCGGAAAATTCCAAGGATAGAAATGACGGTCGACAGCGATTACTAGGAAGGCACCTATTGTGCCAAGTGGAATCAAAGATTATATAAATCTCGAATGAACTGCCAACATGTTTCCGCAACGAGAGGGCTAACAGACTCAGATGGTGGCACCACTGGGATAACACCATCCGGTGTAGGATTAGACTGATGGCGGGGGTTGGGAAATCCACACCCAAGGTGGTTCGCACTGGCTCAAACAGCGATGCAGAAAGATTAATTTGCTGCCAAGGTCCACCGCTCGACATGTGGGGACATGTATAAGAGTGGATCGGTGACTCATCTCTCACCGTCTCACTTAATGTTCGACCAATATGTATTTATATTTATTTAGCACTTGGCAAACAAACAATTAGCAAAGTGCCACAAGACATGAGTAACAACTAAACATTTTACAGACCTGTGAGCCGAATGAATCAAGACAGTAGCTAACTGCTTCTAATGAAATTCAGCATTCCCAACTGACAAGCCCTGAACTGCTGGTTAGCGTGATTACTGTCGACGAGTGGCTGCGTACTATGGACTGCTTGCAAAAAAGAACGTTATGCTTGCAGGTATGCAATCCGGCTAAATGGTGCCGTAAGGAAACATAGAAAATAAACCGTTGCTGAGCCTAACCAGAGTCCAAACAGGATGAAGGATGTGAACAAACTCAAAAATCACTTGAGTATCTTAAGAAGAATCACGAACGGCGGAAGAGAGATAATGTCAAACCAAATGGAAGTAAGCGCTAGGAGTATTGTCATCTAAAACGTCCATAGCAATAACCTTAACAGGGCAAAAGGTGTAGGGTGGGAAATAAGCGCTAGCAATATTAATTAGCGCCCCTCAGCATCCAGTCCTTAAGTTAGTCAAGAAAGGTGTGTGTGTCTTAGTGGCACCGGACACCGAAAAGGCACGGCTGGTCGCCGTGTTCTACCACTTCCGGTAGTGAAAACAAAAAATGATTCGGTTAGAAGGCTGAAAAAAGCTGACTGAAACACTGAAAGCATAGAAGGATAACGGTGGACTCCGGAAGAGTTAGCAGTTGGGCTTGAACACATCCACTACGTGGAAACCCGAGGGAATCAGGTGTCTCAGAAAGTACCACGTGGTTGCGAATAGGAATAACGCTGTACATGCAGCCTTTAATGTGCAAGGGCGCAATGCAGTACTCACTACAGACTAGTCGTACAGGCAGTTCTCAAAGAGTTTGAACAAGTTTCGGTCAACAAAAGTGAAACGCACGTTTACCAGAATGTGGAAGGGCCATCCACATATCCTCAATATTGCTATGTCGGCTTAATTCACACTCCGTAATGACCTCCGAGCCAGAAATGAGCTGTGCATACTCTTTGGTACGCATTAGGGCCAGCCAACGACCAATTCCTCTGAAAAACGAAGAATATTCTGAAATCATAGTAGCCAATGGGAAATAACTGCAAAATAAATCGAGGGATAGAGGCGGTAGATTAGTGGCTGGGGTTAGAATGCTAGGGAGAACAAAAGATCCACCAGAATGACTCGAATCGGCAAACTAACTCTGAAAAGACAAAAGAAAGCAAAACCTGGCCTGAAGAAGCATTTGTGTCAAGGGCGAGACGTTGTCACAATACAAATCTTCGGAAAACCAATTTGTATGCTAAAATCTTGAAAATTTTATGAAATCCCAGTCGGTTCCAAGTTTATTCCAAGATAATGAAAAGCTAAGTTCTTTTTGCGGTGTTTCGTGTGGCAAGACAAGTTCAGAAACACGCCAGTTCTTATAAGAAGGCCGATGAACCAATTACTTCAGACCAAAGCGAGTAGTAAAACGGGGGGACAAAGTTTATATGCTGAACTAAGGTCCAATCAAACAAGGTCAATCTGGTGAAGATGGGTCAAAAACTGTGCTAAGTTTGCTGGTGTGGGTTGCGTAAATTACGGAATCAGGATCCGATATCGCAAACAAACATTACAAACTGGGCAATTTTAGCATGACAGGCATGAAACCAGTTACAAAAAATAATGACAAAAGAAGGACGAAGTACATATAGGAGTACGCCACAAGTCAGGGAGCACCTATTAAATAAAATGAAAAACGACCACAAGTTACTCGCGGTCGTATCATCTCACGAAAGTTGATTGTGACCGAATCATTCTAAATCCATTCTGACTGCGCCCAAATGGCTTTAAGTACGATCTTGCAGGACGCTGTAATAATAATTAAGTAAATAATGCGGTCCGATGCCGGATTATTTAGTCAAAAAGTAGAAAGAGGAGCTCCTACTTTCAAATGGATGAAGGACAAATAGCATTCACCTGCACGATCTTGTCGCCAATGTTCAACGCTACCCTGTTCTCCAACACTGCATAACACTGGTCATTTTAACCAGCAAGTGATGGTATACAGCCAAACTGGGCTGTCTTGGAACCATGGACACTATCTCCCGCTAAGTCGAAGTTAAGCTTCGCACTCTACGTGGGACTAGGCAATAGAGAATGTCCGGTTACTTTCTTAGTCCGTTGTGGCTCGTGCGCCTCATCTTCAAAACACATTAATAAGCGAACCTAACTAACAGCTAGGGTAATAGTCAACGTAGTACTACACATTGCGGCTGCCTAACTCAAAAATCTGTGACGAAAGTTACACGGTTAATGACGCAGATGACACAGAAGTGTTGGAGTTGCACTCGTCAAACACGAATGACACCAGTAACTAGCCGCACTCGTGCACTTAAAACCAACAGTTAAATCAAGGGGATCTGGTGGGAGTAACCAACTGGAACGAACGGGTTGAATCAACAGGTGAACCAGATGGCCAATCAGACTGTCACTAAACGTGCCGGGAGTAGTCGTTCTGCTACGAGGAGTTACTCGCCCCGTGTTTGAGAATCAAAAGGGGATAAAATTGGTTGTTTTGGAGCTGGACAGCAGTGCTGTTAGTTGAGGAAGCAGTTCAACTCTATCAGTTGTATGCATAGTGGAGCCAAATGTATGAAAGAACTGCGGTGGTTATGTGTCCGTCTGTTTCGGCGAGTTGCTCCGTTCAATAAATTGTCCACCTCTAGGAGACCGATGATTGCGACAAGGAAGCCAGTACATAAAAGAACAAACGAACCTGTGGCAAAATACACGCCACATCACTTTTAGAATGGGTACTCTAAATAAAGCAGCGGTATTAAGCTCATCCAAAAATTGCAGTCAGTCTTTAAGCAACAGGTTGGCATAAGATTTTCATGACGAATGGGGTATTGGAAATCTATATGGGTCTTGCTGATACAAGCAGTGTTTTCTAGTGATAAATATGAGTACATAAACCTAATGAACGCTCCGAGGAACCACTCGGAATACTGGCAAGTAGCGGCGGGTCAAAAAACAGCATATTTCCATTTGAAGCGTTTAGTGTGTACAGTATAGTGAAGCGAGATTTGACAAATCACTCAATAGCTTCTGTCTGATGAGGTCCAAAAACTAGAGAAATGACGCCCCAGTGTGCTTTACTTTTCTCTACCAGTCACCAGACAAAATGTGTGCTCAAGAGGAAGATAAAATGGAGTTAGTCAAGATGATTTCGAGGACAAAGGTAACGAGGAAAGAAACAAATGAGGAAACATTGGTGCACTATAATTATCATGATGAGCTAAAACGATAAATTCCCGTCCGCATGCCTATAATCTCGAGGATTACAGTGTGGCACAGAAGAAAACGGCAACCTCTGAACTTGGTCCAAGGAGGTTTGCATACGTTTCTCCTCTTTAAGCATAAAAACAATTCCAACGTATGGCCCACCCGTCTATAGTCTGACGACTCATGGTAATGTGCGAAAGATCAAACGGGTTCAACATCTCTATCAGCGTAAAACAATAATTTTTCTTTTTGCCTAGTAGCCGGCTGGTAGCGTACCGGAACGATCCCTATCCGTCGCTGGTAGCTCAGCTGGCATGCGACTTTTGTATTTATTTTCCATTTTCATTTATGTATTGCGGCACAGTAGATGAGGCGTTTCCCACCTCTAGCTGACATGTGTAATGATGATGATGAATGTCTCTATCAGCCTTAGGGGGGTATTTGCCATACGAAGAGCAGTAAGAGACTATGACCATACGCTCTGTCCTATAGTCGGGTGCGAGTCGATCTCATGCCCAACCGTGTTTTACATCTCAGTGACTTCCCAATGCACGGCTAACGTCAAAGTTAGCCGTGGTCGGGCGCTCTCGGCTCCCAGGCTGGAGTGTGAAAGATCCGGAACACACATGGCTGGAAAGGCTATCGGATATAGCAAGAAATAGAGCATAATGGTACTATACAAATTGTACTATTGGCCGGGCTGAAGGTATATATATATATATATATATATATATATATATATATATATATCCCAATGCTTACGCTGCTGTTCCACCTGCGAACATCAGGTAGCACACGCAAATACCCGTATAAACTTGTGATTCCGGGTTTGAAGCGAATTTCTCGGCGCCTTTGCATCGAACGGAGAGTGGTCAGTGCTTGGAACAGTTCATCAGGGCGCAGAATGTAAGCAAAATTGTTGCAGCATCTCAAACATTCATGGAGTAAAATTTCGACACTATTCATGAGACAGGACAGCCACCCACTGATAACTACACCTCAGATTGGTGAGTTCCATGTTGCTGTGTTAGACATTTCCTAAGGTATTATGTAATAACTTGTGAATCGATTGAGGTATGAGCAAGTCATAGGCAGTTTTTCAGTTTCGAGTTTTTGAGTTGTAGGCTTAAATTTTTACTTGCTCCCAATATAGCAGTTAGTAATCAAAATGGTAGTGGGTGGCCGATTAAATCAAATGCGACAGGTCAGATGAATGAGTGAACCAACGGTATCAGTTGATGGTGGATGCAAATGAGTTGAAGACAACTCTTATTTAAACTAGGATAGTATATCAACCATTAATATTTCTTCCGAGGCAGTGAAACTGGAGTAGCTGTAGTAATGTTCGAAAAAGCATGTGAAAACAATAGTCAAATAACAAGGCCAGACGACAAAGTGGAAAAAGACGTTAAGTGATGTATGAATCAAGAAAAGAAATAGATTTCACAAGATACATAAAGCACTATAAGAGCCGTTATAAACGCTACACAAAAAACTCACAGTGGTTGGATTTTATCTGGAGAATGGCGTTTGGTAATGCATGGAACATCATCAGAACTTGCCTCGCTCGTTACGATCAACTTTGGAGTCGTATCCGTCATTGTGAGAACAGAGCTGAAACCATAACGTTACGCCTTATCACATTAAGAAAAGGGACAGGTAATCTCAAGCTGGATCTTGTGCCACAATAGCAAGATAAAAGGAACGCCACAAAAATAAATCTGAATTACAATGCTTGTTGAAGATAACAGTTGCGAGATCTGGTAGTTGAGCTGCAGAGGAGTCAAGTGACTATTGCGACATACAGAGCATCTGCTCAGGTTAGTTACGGCATCTGGATTCTGAGTATCAAAATTGAGGTACAGATAAGGTGTTCAGCACATCAGAAAGCATGCGTAAGCCCAGAAATGGTAACAGAATGAATGGCTGAGTAACCTACGGTGAAACGTTGTATACTTGCATGGAAGCTGGTCGGCCGGTGGACGTGGTCTGCAAGCCTGGCTTGCCATCATAAGGTCACCGGTTCGAATTCGCTTTAGAGGGTGTCCTTGCGGTATACTTAGCCCACGCGCGACTGGTGGTCGCGTGGAAGCGAAACGCCGTTAGGGCGTACAATGGATCATTTATTTTGCATGGAAGCGGTGTAAGTCTGGAAATGTACCCGATTTGCCTGTGTAAAAGTAAAACAAAAATTAATATTTCATTGCAGACGTAGGTGATCGGCGCGGATTATTGAACTGCGTGGTGGGTCCGATTATTAGAGTTGGGCACCGCCTTCGCTTGACGACCGTTTGGGTTGCAACGCGCGATTTCTCAGCGCTGCGCAAATATTTTCGTTCTCCTAGCTAGCAACGTCCACCGGCGTCAACAGGAAATCTTTTACTGTACAAAGCAAAAGCATCGCTGCAACTCGATCTGGTTTCTGGAACCGCCATTTGCTCTCCCGTTAAATTGTCAACTCCGAGTTCCGAAGAACTTCAGCTCCGGTTACTTTGAACTTTTGCCCGTGAGTCTGTTTCATCCAAATTCTGGTTAAATTTTCTTACGGCAGCATTCTGTTCCCATTTTTACCATGGATTCTGTGGAAAACAAGGTTTTGTCTCTCGCAGTTACCGCGGTATCTTTCACTGTCCCACCTTTTTGAGATATGGATCCACTTTTATGGTTTTCGGATCTAAAGGCAAGATTTTATAACAACTACAGACTACGCTAAATACAGTAAGGGTGTCATACCTCTCTAAGGATATATCTATGTAGATTGGTGAAATCATCCTTTTTCAGACAGAAGACCGCTGAGGCTCTCATGGGAGGCTACGATTAAGCGCGTTGCCCTCTGAGAAAGTCGGTGTGCAGCGGCTTTTGAGAGAAGTACAGTTCAGAGACAAACTGCCCTCAACCCTGTCACAACAGATGAAGCAAGTCCTTGGTTCATCTACCAAAGACTGTTCTTCGCGATTTATGGCTACAAAAGATAACGGAACAATACAAGTGGATCTCACAATCGTAAATCCCGTATCGCTCAGCGAACTAACAAACTTGATAGACCGAGTCACTGAACTTCAAAGCTGCAAACCAGTGCAAGCAAGGTCAACGTTGTCGCGCCCTAGGGTACTTCTAGCCCCAACTTACAATCAACAATAGAAACACTGTAAGCACAAGTTGTGGGACTTAGTTGCCAAATCCAATAGCGCACTATGACCGGTCGCCGTCAGTCGGTTGAAGTTGTCCTCAAGACGCTCAAACTCCGTCAACAAGCAAGCATACTGTTGGTACCATCAACCTTATGGCAACCCTGACCGTAAATGGGTCATGCCATGCACCTTCTCTGAGAAGCAGGAAATGTTCCCGGTCGGCCTGTAATGACGACGGATGCGACCGGTCAAAACCAGTCTCCTCATACTGAGTTCCTAGTGGACACGTCAGCCACAGCTCAGATGAGATGGTTTCATCCTCCCCGACCACTTTTATGTAGGCAACGTCCCCGTTGCCACGCCAAGGCTCCCTTGAGGTGGTACTTCGACTTCCTTAGCTACTTCTGTCGGTGTTTGACTGTGGCGTTCCTCATTCGAATGCTCAGCCTCGATTTGGAAGGGTTTAAGTCTATAAAGGTGTACGACCATGTGCCGTCCGGTGGCGTTCTTTGGATCCCTAATCACACAAGTCAGATCCGATATTATTCGCTAGACTACATAAGGCCATGCGCACTCACGATGCAGCTTCGCTGGTATTCCGGATACTGGTGCCTGGTGCAAATATACGGGGTCACCTGCTCTCAGCGGGACACCGAAAACCCTCTTGTCGTAGTATTCTTTCTGTCACCGTTGATCGTTCGCCAATTGAATGCGTGCCGCTTCGTGTGTGCGTCGAACGGAGACAAGAAGCTTACTGACGTATTCTGTCGCCGACGGATACAATTGTTGTGACATTGGCAATCACACACCCGAGGGCAGTCTAACTTCTCTACGTGTCCACATAAAAGACGGCGTTTGCCCGGTAGAAGAGTGGACCGTAGTGCGGTAGGCCAATAAGCATTTAGGCAACAAAGTATCCCACTCGTAGATGTTCTGTTCCACGAAGGCCTTCAAGAATGATTTCAATGGCCGATTCGTGCGTTCAACCTGTCCGTTCCCTTGTGGATGGTAAGCCGTTGTTCGTGTTTTATCGATCCCGAGTGCTCTGCACATCTCCTGTACCAGTGAGCTTTTGAAACATGACCCCCTATCGGACCGCAATTGTCCGGGCGCTCCCCATTGGCAAACCCAGTGGTTAATCATCGCGGTTGCCGCAGTGACAGCATCAGCCTGTGCGATTGGCACAGCTTCACACCATTTGGTGAAGTAGTCTACCATGACTAGGATGTAGCGATTCCCTCTCCGCGTTTCCGGTAGCGTAGCAACGAGGTCTACTCCAACTATTTCGTTCGGGTAACGCGCTGTCATGGATTGTAGCGGTGCCCTGTGAGTCACGCGTGGATTTTTGAATGTCACGCATCTTTCGCAGGCTTGGCAGAAGTTGACGTCTCTTCGTTGATGCGGCCAACAAAGTAGTCGGCGCGTCGCCGACTCGAGTTTATTGATCCTAGCGTGTCCCAGCGGTCAACGAAGATACGTTGTCAACTTCTGCCAAGCCTGTGAAAGATGCGCGATATTCAAATATCCACGAATGACTCACAGGACACCGCTACAATCCTTGACAGCGGATATGATATTGGATGGTAAGCAGTCACGCTCACCTTGAAAAGACCTGTTGCCGCGAGGTGGTCCGTGATTCCCCTGTCTTGGTGGCTGATAGCGTAACCTTCCGAAATGTCGCAGGGTGATCGATCGTTCACCATAACTCCGGCGGAAGGTAGATTGATTTGTTCTCTTTTCGAACGGTGTACGTTTGGGCTGATTGTGCCCCCTCAAGGCACCACACCAATAGGTATGTGTTCGCATCACCGCGTCTACTTGTTCCAACTTCTCAGCCACTTGTAGGGCTGGGTCCAGGCACGCGGGGGGAAGAAGGCGGAATTCCCTCTTAATAGGCGTTTGGATGCCTTCAAGCAACTGTTCCAAAGTGCGCTTGTCTCGTTCTGTCTGCGATTTCTCTGCGAAAGCCGTTTCTGTCACCCTGCGTAGTTCAGGTACACAGGCTCTGATGGCTTCTCCCGGCCTCTGGTATCTGGCGTGGAACTCTCGTCGAACATTGGAAGATCGTACTTAACGGGAATAAAAGTACGAGCTTTACATGACCCATAGGGTAAAAAGAATACGGGTCGGGTCTAATGAAAGACCAAGCAACCTTATAGCGGGTTGGATTCGTGTGTTAGCCGTATCTTCACCGGGCTTATGCGGCATTGAAACAGAATGCACGCCGCCTCAAAGCGTGACATCCCATCACGCCCTTCGAAACGGCTACGGAAGAGTAGGTAGGTGAAAAGAAGGAAAGGAGCTCCATCAAGTAGAAGGTAGTTATATCAGGGAATATCGCGGTGCAGCTTGGTCAGATGACAGTCCAGGAGGGTCTTAAAATCCGCCACAGTGGATGCCAAGACCAAATCGGCGGGCAGAGCATTTCACGGTCGGCAGATTCGCAAAGCGAAGTAGTGTCGTATGCAGTTCAGCCGACTGTGCTGATATGTGAGCGTCAGTGGGTGGCCACGTAGGTTGGAGCACGATTGGTGCAGTGTGAGTAGGTGGCGACAGGGATATCCATGGTTGGATAAGATCATAACTACAAGGATCAGGTAGACGTCGGTACTTAAGCGAGTTGAGGCCTAGGCAGTGAAGTCGCTGTGGATAACCTAAATGCTTGAGACCTCGGACCAGTTTTGTTGTTCGACGTTGTGGGGCTTCGAGTATGCGTTGGTCCGTCAACAATCAAGGGCACCAAGTCTGAATAGCAAACTCCAAGTGGGGTAGAAGAAAAGCGTTGAGGAGGAGGCGGAAATTGCTAGGGTCAATTTGACCGAAGGCTGGTTTCAGCAGTCCCACCATGCGGTTAGCAGCAGCAGCTGTTTTCCGGTAAGAAGCGGATACGGAAAGACTGGTCTCGGTAATGACACCCAAGTCTCTTCCGAATGAAGAGAGCAGGAAGATACACTCCCAGGTAATATATAGGAGAAAAAGCGGAAGGGAGAGTAGAAAGGACGCGACATTTCGAAGCGTTAACTGCAAGGTTGTTTACTATGGACCCCTGATGTAGATGGTCGAAGTCCGTCTGAAGTGCGTGGGCATCGTCCGGAAGGTTAATTGTGCGCCACAGATTCGCGTCATCCGCATATAGCAGCAGAAAGGACTCCACCTGCGATGTGACGTCATCAATGAAGGCTAGGAAGAGGTGCGGTCCGAGAACAGACCATTGTGGAACTCCGCTTGTGGCAAGGATGCAGGGAGACAATGCTCCGTCGACGCGTAATTGGACCGTACGGTTTTGAAGGTAGTTCCGGATCCAGTCCAGCAAGGCCCCTGAAACACCGTAAGACAACAGTTTCTGTAGTAGAATGTTGTGGCCGACATAGTCGAAGGCTTTGGCGAAATCCAGGAATATGACGTGCGTTTCTAGGCTAGAGTCAGCAACAGTCGTCCAGCTATTCCTGGCAAGTTCAGTAGGCAGGCCGGGCCGATACAGTAAGCACCGAAGGGAGTTCAAGTTCAAGTGAGACTGGAACGATAGGATGAATCCCGTAAGTGTTCCTTCTTGAGCGGGTCGTCGACCCAGGAGTTGATAGGGGTGCTCCGACTTCTTGATAGGTCTAGAAGGAAAACATCCGAAAAGACACCTTGGTCCACTAACTTAATGCCCACGTTCCTTACATTAGCTGTCCCAGCTGTCAGTTACGTGAAGTATGGGAGGAAGAAAAAGCGAAGGTAAGAAGAAATCAGTTAAAAGAAGAGAATAATACCAATGACGAGGAAAAGTAAAGGAAACAGAATCGAAATAGAAGAGGTGAATTAGTCAGGAAAAAGGAAAGGTTTCGTTTTGCCACCCAAGAGCGTCTAGTTGACGCTCAAACTTTTTAACCGTAGATTCCTTGACAGCATTTTCTGGAAGCAAGTTCCAGCGTTCAATGACTCGACGCGATAACCGTGCCTCCGCTCTAACTCGATCGGACCGCGGTTTGTCCAGCTTCATACAACTCCCGCAGAGACCATATAATCTAGCAGGACTAAATAGCATGGACAAATCAGAGCCAACCCTCCCAGTCGAAATACGGTAGGTTAGGATTAGGTCCTGTCTAATCCTTCGATAGTACATTGACTGCATCCCCAAACTAAGTAGGCGTTCGGGGTACGTTTGCCCTTGTAATCCCGTGACCAACTTAGTACCGACACGCAACACCCTTTCTAGTGCCATTTTATCCCGGACAAGGCATGGTGGACAGGCCTGGACGCAATATTCTAGGTGGGGTAGCACAAACGCCGAGAAGAGCTTCACAAACACATCAGCGGTTAGGGTCCCAAAAGAACGATGAATAAACCATAACATCCGGAACCATTTACTAGCCGCCTTCCAGTTGTCTCCAGTGTAGTGTGGAACAGTGGACGACACCTAGATTAACCTGATGAGTCACGTGAGGAAGTACAGTCCCAGCGAGCACATAACTTGTGGAGGAATCAGACGCTCCGACACGCAGCACTGAACACTTTGGCCGGTTTATGGGCAGCAACCACAAGACAGACCATTCCCAGAGTCCATGCAGAACCCGTTGAAGGGCCACAGGACCTCCAGGGATATCAACAATATTTCAGAGCTTTAGGTCATCAGCAAATAAAAGCAATGGTACCTCAAGCTCCTCCGGCAAGTCATTCATGTAGTCTGAGAAAAGCAGCGGACCTATAGGTCCTATAGGACAGAGCCTTGATGAACGTCGCTAAGTACAGCTTGTCGAAACGAAAGACAAATGTTTTCTGGGGGATCATTTCTTCCAGGAGTTTAGTATCCGCCACGAAATCGAACGCCTATCCTGAGAGCAGTCCCATTATGACAGTATCGTGTTGTGAAACAGGGAAGTTCTTTAGTAGGAGTGGCTAATTTTTGACATGAAAAGTTAAGTTCAAGTTCAAGTTCAAGTGGGACTGGAACGATAGGATGAATCCCGTAAGTGTTCCTTCTTGAGCGCGTCGTCGATCCAGGAGTTGATAGGGGTGCTCCGACTTCTTGATGGGTCTAAAACGAAAACACCCGAAAAACACCCTGGTCCACCAATTTAATGCCCACGTTCCTTACATTAGCTGTCCCAGCTATGTCAGTTACGTGAAGTAAGAGAGGAAGAAGAATCGAAGGTAAGAGAGTAGGGGAAATCAGTTAAAAGAAGAGAATAATACCAATGGCGAGGAAAAGTAAAGAAAATGGAATCTAAGTAGGAAGATGGGAATTAGTCAGGAAAACGGAAAGGTTTCGTGTTGCCACCCAAGAGCATCTAGTTGACGCTCAAACCCCTTAACCGTAGCTTCCTTGACAACATTTTCCGGAAGCAGGTTCCAGCGCTCGATTACTCGACGCGATAAGCGTGTCTCCGCTCTAACTCGATCGGACCGCGGTTTGTCCAGCTTCATACAATGCCTGCGAAGACCAGATAATCTAGCAGGACTAAATAGCATGGACAAATCAGGACCAACCTTCCCAGTCAAAATACGGTAGGTTAAGATTAGGTTCCCTCTAATTCTTCGATAGTGCATTGACTGCATCCCCAAACTAAGTAGGCGTTCGGGGTACGTTTGCCCTCGTAATCCCTTGACCAACTTAGTACCGACACGCAACACCCTTTCTAGTGCCATTTTGTCCCGGACAAGACATGGTGGACAGGCCTGGACGCAATATTCTAGGTGGGGTCGCACAAACGCTGAGAAAAGCTTCACAAACACATCAGCGGTTAGGGTCCCAAAAGAACGACGGATAAACCACAACATCCGGAACCCATTACTAACCGCCTTCCAGTTGTCTCCAGAGTGTAATGTGGAACAGTGGACGACACCTAAATCAACCTGATGAGTCACGTGAGGAAGTTCACTTCCATCCAGCACATAACTTGTGGAGGAATCATACGTTCCGATACGCAGCACTGAACACTTTGGCCGGTTTATAGGCAGCAACCACAAGACAGACCATTTCCAGAGTCTATCCAGAGCTCGTTGAAGAGCCATAGGACCTCCAG